TTCTCCAGCACCACAGCTCAAAGGCATCAATTCTCCTTCTATCCTCCGTAGTCATTGTCCAACTCTCTGATGCATAACAAGTGATTGCAAAGACCATAATCTGTATCAGATGCACCTTAGTCTCCAGAGTGACACCATTGCTCTTCAGTACCCTGGAGAGGCCCTAACAGTACACTTTCCCATCACAATACAGTTTTTATTTCCTGGATACTGGTGCCAAGAGTGTTGACTGTGGAGCCAAGCAGACTAAAGTTGTTAATAAGCTCAATCTCTTCACCAGCCATCCTGATGCTGCCAATTTGTCCAGCGGTGAGAATCTTTGTCTTCTTGATATTGAGCCTCAATCCATACTGAAGGCTGTAGTCTTTCACCCTCGGCAACAAGCATTTCAGGTCCTCCTCAGTTTCATCAAGCAGGGTTGTGTCATCTGCATAACACAGACTGGTAATAGATCTTCCACCAATCTGATGCCACACTCCTCCTCATAGAGCCCAGCCTCTCAGTTAATCTATCCTGCATACAGGTTGAAAAGATATGGAGACAAGACAATCCCTGGAGTACACCTTTCCCAATTTTGAACCCTGCAGTGTTGCCCTGCTCTGTTCTGATGACTGCCTCTTGGTCCACGATCAAGTGTTCTGGTATTCCCATTCTCAGAGTCAGCCACAATTTGTTATGATCCACACAGTCAAACGCCTTTGCATAATCAATAAAACACAGATAGACATTCTTCTGGTATTCCCTGCTTTCAGCCAAGGTCCATCTAAGGTTAGCTACAATATCCCTAGTATCACGACCCCTTCTAAACCCAGCCTGGACTTCTGGCAGTTCTCTGCTGATGTACTGTTCCATTCATTTTTGGATAATCTTCAGTAGAAGATTGTTTGCTTGTTAGATCAATGATATTGTTCTATAGTTTCCGCACTCTGTTGGGTCACCTTTCTTGGGAATGGGAACAAATATAGATCTCTTCCAGTCAGTTGGCCAAGTGGTTGTTCTCCAGATTTCTTGGCACAACTTGGTGAGCACATCCAGGGCAGTGTCTGTTAGCTGAAATACATCTATTGGTATACCTTCTATTCCTGGGGCCTTATTTTTTGCTATTTCCTTCAAAGCAACTTGAACTTCTACCTTCATCTCCATAGGCTCTTGCTCATATGTTGTTTCATTAAATTCTTCTGTGTCTGCCAATTCTTTTTGATACAGTGATATTCTTTCCATCTTCTTGTAATACTTCCTGGATCATTTAATATTCTGCCTAAAACATCCTTGATTATAGCAACTCTAGGTTTGAATTTGTTTTTCAGTTCCTTGAGCTTAAGAAATGCTGAATGAGTTCAGCCCTTTTGATTTTCCAACTCCAGCTTCTTGGACATTTCATTGTAATATTTTGCTTTGTCATCCCATGCTGCCTTTTGGAATCATCTGTTCAGCACTTTAGTATCTTGAATTCTTCCTTCTGCTTTGGCTTCTCTGCGCTTCAGTGCAATCTTCAGAGTTTCTTCTGACATCTATTTTTGTCTTTTTTTTTTCTCTTCTGTCTTTGTAATGACCGTTTGCACTCTTCCTGGATTGATACCTTTGACATCCTCGCACAACTCATCTGGTCTTTGCTCATTAGTGTTCAAAGCCTCAAACCTGTTCCTGAGATGGTTCTGAAATTTAGGTGGGATGAACTCAAAGTCATATTTTGGTTCCTGTGGATTCGGTTTAATTTTTCTCAGCTTCAGCTTGAACTTGCATATGAGTAGTTGATCTTTTCCACAATCAGCTCCTGGCCAGGTTTTCACAGCTGATATTGAGCTTCTCCAGCAGTTCTTTCCACAGATGTAATCGATCTGATTCTTATGCATACCGTCAGGTGAAATAGGATAGACTGAAAAACAAACAAACAAAAAGCCAAACTTTATTATAATTAATTTTCTAATACTAAAACCAAGGAAGGATTATTGAAGCCAGAACAATTAAAATAAGTAGTTATTTAAAAGGAGAACAAATTTAAATAATCTCAAAATCTCGGTAGAAACCTACAGACACGTTACAGAGATGACTTACGTAAAACTCTAAAGGCAGCTGCCAACAAGAAGAACAAAAACTGACAAAAGAAATATGTACCAAAGAAAAATCTCCCTAATATATGAAGGTGAAATGAAGATATCTTCAGATAAATATAAACTAAGGGAACTTGTACAAAATAAATTTACTTTTCAAGAAACATTAAATGCAATACTTTGGCCAAAGAACCTGCACAAGGAGACAAAAATCCAAAATTAGTAAACATGTAATCATCATTCAGAAACTAAACCAGACATAGAAATCCATAAATCAAGGGACTAAAAATATAGAAACAGACATTAGTCTGTAAATGAGGATAGCTACAATGAAAAAGGAAGGAATAGTGTAGTTCCTAAGAAAGTCAGACTCATTCTCACTGACTTTGAAGAGGCTCATAGCTGACCTTATGGTGGGTTTTCAGAAGGGTGTAAATTACATTGAAGGAAATTGTCTCTTTCTCTAGTGGAGTCACTGATGTATTTAAACCGCAGAGGACTGATTTTAAATCAGCAGTGCAACTCCTCATAGACTACACCAGTGGAACTTCCTAGCTTAGTTACAGAACATCTAAAAGGAAAGGAAATCAAGACAAGTTCAAGAGAAAGTCAAATTTTTAGACTTGGGAATAAAATTGTAATGTACAGAGTAGTTGAGAAAAGTACTAAAATTCATCAAAATAAGAAAATGATAAAGGATTAGTAAACTGAAACAACAGGAATAAATGAAAGCATATGAAAAGAAAATGAACAAAGTAAATTCTGGCACAGAAAACTCTATCCTCAAAACCACAGAAAAGAATACAACAAGATGATAACAGTAAAACCATTACTATTGATAGTTTCACTGAATGTGAACAGGTTAAAAGCACCAGCAAAGAGAAATCAAGTAGCAGAAAGAGTAAGAAATATGACATATAATTATGGGGTTCGGTGTTTTGTTCTTTTTTACAAGAGAAGTATTTTTGAACAAAAAAGTAAAACATTAAAAATCAAAGGGAGGAAAATATCTTCTAAATGTTGTTGTTCTTGTTGTTATGTGCCGTCGAGTCGTTTCCGAC